TATACCAGCCTCATTTCAAGCACACTAAATCATATTTGTTCGCCATTTCACCTTTTAATTGCTCCAGCTGAAAAAACCATTATTGAACTCGTTTGTTTTCTCCGCCAATCCAGCTCAATAATGTAATCGAATATGCATTCAAACTGAGGTTACAGACTGTAACCGTGATTAAGACAACTGCTGTACACTAAAAGTTTCGTTTAACAAACGCTACTTGATTTTGAAACCAGTTCCGATCACGCGACGATTCTTATCTAAGAAATTTGTTATCGCGAAACTCAACGCTGCAATAATTAGCAATATACTTGACGGTCATTTGATCTGTATTTTATGTGTTGATTCAAAAATTCACATCAAGATAAAAGCGCCACTCTTTTTGGCTGATGCTTCCATAGGTTCAAATTTAGTCCTTCATCGATGTTAGATAGCAGTGAATGGAGTGTTGTTGAACACCGATGTTCGATAAAATTCCATATGGCCAAAGCTTGCCCAATTATCAACTCAGTCTTTGTTCTAACACTACTAACTCAGGCTTTGGACAAACCGCTTTTACGTGCGTGAACAAACATCAGAAATTCGAAAAAAGTAGCTAGAGGCGTGAATGCAAGATAACCACCAAGACCTCACACGTTGCGTAACAAAAAAGACCTTCAAGTTGGGCACAATAATATTTCGAATTCGTTTCGTTCCTCCTTCAGAAATAGTTTTCCTAGTAAGCATAGACCTGAGTCTTCCATCCGAAAGCTATCCGTTCCCGAATTTTGTCAATACTGATTGTGAGTGTTCAACGAGGCCGACCAAACGGATCCGCACACAGAAAGCAACCGTTTATTCGAGTGCATGTTGGTGTTCACCACTTCAATAAAGTCAAGCCATATTCATCATACGCACGAATAGTGAAACCCTTTTGTGAATAAAGGTGAAGCAGCATCAACTTTTATGCAAATCGATGAAACCATTCCTTAGCATCATTCCAAACCAATTGAATCAACAACGCTGTCGACCGATTCACTGAGTGCTCGTTGCATAAGCACGAATATTACCAGACTACAAGGAGAAACAAGATGACATCAAGGCAGTAAAACTTTATTTCTTTCCAAAATCTGCTATTATCAGTTGAATGGAAAACAACGCTGAGATAAAAGGAAATGTGTGGGGAATAAATGCGCAGTGAACAACGAAAATAGATGAATGGGATAGGACGGATGGGCTGAGATGAGCGCTTATAACGCGGATATAACGATAGACACGTTGAGAACAATTAGCGAGAAAGCGATACGTAAACTGTGGTGCAAATCTATAGTTTGAATGATGTGTTCATGATAATAAAATGATATCAATAATGATGATATATAAGCGAAACAAAACAACCACACCACAACAATAGTACGAGGGGATAGCACGAAGGCAACACAAAATTGAAATTCAAAATCGATAAAGAGGAAACATACAAAAATAGAAACAAACAACATCAATAAGATCAATTTGGGTTTTAAGGAATGCAAAATATTTCTGATTATAATAAGAATAATATCGTTGCTGAGACACACGTCCTGAAATATAACGAAAATACTTTTCAACAAATATGCAATGCATCAATTTGCAAGAATGCATTCAACAACAAGGATAATCCGCAAAGAACAAACATTTCGATGCATAATAATAGTGATTGTTGATTTTTCAAATGATTGTTATATAGTTTGATTTTTCATCAACTGTTCCACGTTTCTAAACTACGGCCACAAATCAACTAATACTCATTGCCGTGAGCATAACAATAACAAAATAACCGAGGTAAGTTTTGGCCAACGAAAGATAAAGTTTGTTTGAAGGAACACGGACTGAATAAATGAACTGTGGGTTGATGATTCGTATATCTTCAGTATTTGAATAGCAGAAATAAAGTCACTGAAATGAAGGGATAAGAGGATGGGTATATTGCAAGTAATGATTTATTCATTGAATAGGAATAAATTAATTGGTTTACATAAGAAATTGATAACTGTTAAAATTGGCAAAACTGATGTGAGAATATTTCTAGCAAATATGCATAAATGTGCTAACTGAACTTGTCTCAAATCCCTGTCTTATCGCTCAAGGCTTCATAATATTCTTGAAGACCTCCCATCTAAGGGTATTCTTCATTAGCCGCTCATTACGCCACCATTGCACAACTATTTGAAACTCGTCTAGGATGGTATAGTTCAGGGTATAAAATGATGATGAAAATATTGAACTGAATAAATTCAGCAAAATAGATCAAAGTAACCAGAAAGTGAGGAGATACTACACAAATAACGACATGTTTCGATGCATCATCCAAACTTCCAACAAACACAATGCAGCTGTTTTGATGACAACGAAAATGTTGACTGATGAGAATCTTTGGATAAAAATGGTGCTACTAAATGTTTAGTTGTGCACTGCATGAGCTGGAGTAGTGGAACAGAGGAACTTTAGTTTACAAATGTTGCTTATTACGAGTTTATCAAGAGAACAAAGAATGCTTCTTTTCGATGAATTTTAGGGACAGATGTGTTTGGAATTGATCAATGAAAATAACGGAAACAAAGATGAGGAGATAAATGCCGAAACACGATGATGATGTATGGATGATATAATTGTTCAAATTGGCGAGTCACAGGAACAAACGTATTGCAGTTGCAGTATCGGTCAACGTCGTCATGTTGCGCAGCCAAGACAAAGCAACGATGCTTTGATGCGTTCAGGTGCAGAGTATGACCAATCGGTTCTTCATACTCTGCATCAGAACACTTCAGCAATAGGTAATGAACTTGGTCTTTTGCATCGCGTTCATCTCACATGTAGAACACCAGTTCGTATTCGAACAACAATAAACACACATACCATTATCAACTGAAAATCTCAAATCTTAATTCTTCATTATTATTCGAAAATTTTTTCAAAAAATCAGAGTGATAATTAACATTCTGAAAATGAAATGCAACGTTGAGCGCATAATTGTTGTATTCGTTAAAACGTGCTGCTATCCGCAGCTAACAATCAAAAATATAAATGAAGCCGTGTACTAGACACATAAGAATATAACTTTCAACGTCGGTGTACACTGATCACAATTCAGTTGCAATGAAGCCACACATACACATGTGCACATATTCACTCCATTGTTCAATCGCTTTACAATAACCCACCCACCAATTTTGTTGTATCGCCTACCCTTCTATCAATCATCTGTACTATGCTTTTCAATTATCTGATATCGTTTCTTAAATCTGCATAAGAAATGATATGATTCACTCGGATGTGCTGTGCTCCTGATTGATGAAATGATAACGCGCGTCGAATAAAAGTAATTAACTATGCAATGACCAGAAAAGGATAATCCTAGGCGATAAATTCGTTAGCATTTTCCGCAAGTGATATATGAAATCCAAAGTGCACAATACATGAACGCAATTTAATGTATCATAGTATGTTTGAGCTCAAAATTCAATTACATTTATGTGGATGTCGCGGACACTGCACACAATACTATCATTTAGCAATATTAATCTTCAGCCTCATTCAAATGTTTGTTGCAAGAAGCACCAACAAGAATGTCACAATTTGCATAACTGCATAACAGGATCAAGTGCAGACGTAAGCAATCTCCATTTCTTACTGATGAGAGTCAATGACACCACTCAATCACGCTCCCTTCGATGCATCATCAATCTGTTCTTAACCCATTTAATCTCATTTCACCTAATCCTCCGCACTGTCTTAATCCCATTATGCTGGTACTGCTGATAATTCAATCCTTTAATGTTCCACCAATCACACCACAATATCACCATTACTGCTGTATATCTTGGAACTTGTTTTGATTTTACTGATCGAAAAAATTCAATTGTAAGCAAGATAAAGTGGTTTTTATAACAGGAATTTGCTTTTGCATGATACTGATGAGGAATAAACATCAATCCCCTCAAAATGAATGAATATCAATTCTTCCTGCCAAGTACATATCGTTGCACATTCAGCTGGATGGTAACTGCGACAAAAAGTCAATTGCAAGATAACCATTGTCCCCTGAGACAAACTACTCAGCAAGAAACAGAATGAGAATATATGAGGGGATTAGATTAGCAAATCAATTCTCGAGTATGCAGTCGGTTGGTCGATCGAGCGGAGACTTGCTCGGTGGCTCGCTTTCAATTTAACGACACTAACAAGCGCAATCCAAGCATTATTCATCTGTTTATCCTGCATGCTAGTCCGCATAGGTGCACTTTAGCTAGTCTGATGTTTATTGAACATATCTAATCATCCAACATCTATGCAGCCACACACAAATACAACCGACTAACTGGCTGTGTAAATTATAGCAAGTTTATAGCATAGCTGCTGCATGCTACTTTTTTATACAACTACGCTTTTGAAGCGACTGCTACTTACGATACAATATTAAAGCTAGCTGATTTCATCATTTCACATTCATAGTTAATTCATCATTAAGTATCCCTCAAATCACAGAATACAGCACATCAACTAAAGTGCTCTGATTATAAGCATACACATGGGCAGCGCTATCAATCTAGTTTCTTTTTCAGAATAATCATTTAAAAAAAACAATATTCAAGAATCATTCATAATGAGAAATCGCATGAAATTGGTTTGAATGAACTCAAAAAAACCAACGTTCATATGGAAAAAAAAAGAAATTCACTAATAAATATTCTCTGCTATAAAAACTTACAAAAAATGACGAAATCAACGTGGAACGGTTAATAAGATTGTTTGGCCAAACAATGAAACAAAGGTAGAAAATATGATGATGATGATGATGACGAGTTGAAAGATACAAATGATTATTCAGTGTGCTGCGACCGCAACTGCCTCCGCTCCAGCTGTGGTATCCACCTTTTTACACTCTTCTTCAAAGGCAGCGGCCTTCTCTTCGACCACCTCAAATTCATTCATTCAATCGAAATTACAAGAGTTGGAATCGTCTACCTACACCAAATGCATACTTATTGTTAGATAAATGAAAAGCGAACCTTCTCGGCCGATGCAACCTTTTCCGCCTTTTCTTTCTCTTCAGCTTCCTTTGCTAATTGCTTTGGAGACTACAATTTAAAAAAATACATTTTAATTACACACAAAATTTGGAAATTTCATACTTTTCTGCTCTCATCTTCCAAAAAATTGTTTTTGAGGGAATACCCATATATTCTGTTCCCATCACAATGATAGTCGCCTTAAAGGTATGTATATGTACCTGAGTTCGTCGTGCACGTCTGAAGAAGTTGAGGATGTTTTGAACGATATTCGTTTGTACGGTTTGCGAGGCTACTTGCATCAGCTGATCAGTGTCTACGCCCTTGAAGTAGGAAATTCTATAGTTTTTATTCTTGTATACTTGATAAAAGAATAAATTAGCATACAAAGTAAATAAAGGCTAAAAAATAATGTTGAAAACAAGAGATGAAGTAAACATTATGGATGCGAATCCGAGTAATATTCGTATATTTAATCGAAACTGAAAGTTCAATAAACATTTTTTTTTAAAACTGACTGTACCTTCTGCTCAAACTTCTCCTGCGCGTTCATGCCCAACTGCATGAGAGTGTTGAATACGGATTGATATCCAGCCTTGCCCTTGCTATGTAGATCTTCTATCGAGAATACCTACAACATAGCCAGAAATGATTGGTCACGTTCAATTATTGTCGAGTTGATATATATTTCCATCATTCAATTCTACCATATCATGTTTAATGCGCCATGCAAAAAAAACGGTCATGTTCAACATCTTTCACCATACCGAATTAATTCCCATTCTGCATTCTTTGAGAATACCATTCGACCATTAATGTATTGAGTACTCTGACCCGAATTCGATTTTTTTTTAAATAAATACCATACCCTATAGCGATTTATTTCCTTTAATGAAAGTCTTCTGCGTTGGTCAACTGAGACATGCTCAGGAAAATTAAACGCGCAAGTAATGAAAAAAATTGGCCTTAAACGGAGTCACCTTCTCAGTGATTCTCGATGGAAAAAGTCTAATCTGCACACTGTTATTCATAAAAAGCTCCAGTTATTCTAGAGAACACAATCAGGGAAAACAATAACAAGAGTAGTGAAGCGTGACTTAATTCTATCGACATTTTAAAACTGCGAAACTAATATCAATGTACTTGAAAGTACTTTTAAGTTACAATGACAACCTAACAAAAGACTAACAACAATGATAACAGTATTACCATTATTGCCATATTTGCTGGTTATTGTTGAATTAATCAAGTGATTAGGATTATTCTAACGCTGAGTGGAAATACCATGATAGCAATGGATTTTAGAGTAGTTCACACGAGGAATAATCATTAATTGGGAATTTCTCTGAGAAGAGAGGAGAAAATGCGCTTTTTTACATAAGTGTTGCTTGACAAGACCGAGAAAATGTGTATTTTGAGCGGTTTTTACATGTAACTAATCAGTTGTTCGGCTTGTAAGTAAATGAAAAAGCTGTTTTCACCACTTGCAAGAGGTCGATTCTGATATTCTGAACTGTTCAGAGTGGTTGATTTTGTGAAATATGCACTGTGACATGCAACCGTCCTGGTTAATCGTCTTATTTGATAATATGAATGCTATAATTGTGTTGCATTTGTGAGCGATTCTGAATAGTAAAAAACCTCAGCATTAGTCAATAACCATACCGTGTGTTGTTGGTTCTCAGTCCACTACAAAGATTTGTTTCTCATTGAACTGAAGCAGTTATTTGAATGTCACAAACAAATGAAATGACCATCTCAGTCGCTGTAAACTACCGAATCAATCAATTCTGCAGACTTCACTCTGATACATGTGAACCATCAAAATTCAGTGAAACCTCGCTTTACGACCACCATTCGCACTAACAATTTGATCATGAAACGAAGCGTGTTCTTCGATTGTACTCGATGGGAAACAAATTGATTCGTTTCAGCCGATTTGATTCTTGCTCACGTAAACTTTTGTTCATAGACTAAACTTCATTGAACTGTTCCGAGAGTACAAAAATGTCGGAAGAGTGAAATAAGGTGGGAGACGATTGAATTTTTTCGGCCTGGCGAACTGCATTCATTTAGTATTGCAAAAATGACTGAAATACTAGATGAATGCAGTTCACCAGGCCAGAAGTTAATAAAGAAAACATCAAAATCATAGTACGGTTTCTCTCGTACATTAAAGCTATACATTAAAACATCCTAAAAAATTCTGATTCATCAACAATGGCCGTGAGTTGAGCATGGATCGTGAACCGGAGCTTATGGTGAAATTTTCGGATGTGAACCGATGTTCCACCGTACTATGAATATATAGGGGATAATATGTCTGATCGAAACAAATAATTAATCATCAAATCACTTTAAACGAGCTCTACAAAAAACAGAGACGATTACATATCACCTCTCATCATTTCCGAATATCTTTTTTGTCTAATTCAAACAATGACAACGAACTGCTTGTACTTTCACTCCTACCCGTCCTACTGATGACTCATTCACTCGCCTCACAATTAATCATTCAACGCTTCCCTCAACAAAACGTTTCACAACTGCTCCAATTCAATTTTAATAGTTTTGTGCAGAACTATCAATATTATTAACCTTGCACTCAATCAGCCACTGGAAATGAAACAGATGCAAGAAATGAACAGAGATTGTATAGAGCAAAATTTTGCTGACTCATTTGCTTTTTGCCATTAATCATCAACTTCCATTTCTTGCTGGGAATAAGAACAAAAGTGCATACCATTAAAGCTTAATGAGGTATAAATAATGAGAATGCAATCTGAAATTATCAATACTCAATGCATTTTTGAGGAATATTCAAAAGGTGAAAATACGACGTGAAACCGTTCAAATGAAGAGTGTTCATTGACTTAATGATGACGCAACACAAAAACAAACTTGATCATCGGTCAATCCAGCTTTCTCTTTAGCGAATGAAATGAATGCATTGATATTTGAGGCTTGTTTCGCTTTATCTTTAGCATCCTCGCCTTCATGCACCGTTTCAATGGCACCCGGCTGTAAACGGTTGGCCAATTTGGCTAATACGGTACCGTCTCGTAAAAATCCAAGGAACTGGTTCTTTGTTACCGCGTCGTTTTTACCTGGTAATGTCTTCCGTTTATCTTCATCTTCAACAGCCAATTGCTGTACCCAATCCAGCACCTGATAATTCACCTGAAACAACACATCGTGTTTATTCAACAAATATTTTTTCAGCTGGCCACATGCAACAGCGCTGTACCACCAACTCAATAAATACCTTATGCGCAGCAGCTGGGAATAACGAGCCAATCCAGCCGACTGGATCTTGTCTTGGATCTTTGGGCGGCTCGTGTTTCTTTTCTTCGCTTTTAGCATCTGTTTCTGCTGGCTTTTGAGCGTCGCCTTCCTTGACGTCGGCATCTGCTGCTGGGATATCTGCGTCATTCACCGCTGCTACCTTCGTGGTGGTCTCAGCCATCGTGGAATCGGGTTTTACTGCCGTCTGAATACCACAATAATGAACCATACCGGAGATAATCAACCACACAAATTCAATTATGCAACAATAATATCAAAAAATACAGAAAGATATGTCACCTCTTCGGTGGTATCGGCAGTTGCGGCGGGCTTAGTTTCCAAGTCGGACATTATTAGCGCACAGATGTTAGATTGAGTAACAAACCAGCCAGATGAGTAGTGCAACGATTAGAATAGAACAGCTTAATCAATGAAGTTGTTGACGATACGACGGTACGTAGTCTGGTATATTTTCACTTCAACAACAATTGCACTTGTCAATGAGCCGTGACGGCGCTCGTTAACTCTCGATGTTTATATGCGCTTTCTGAACAGTTTTATATCTTGAAGACACGAGACAGATAAACGATACTCGTAATGATAATACTTATCAATCGAAACAAACAGTCGCCAATTAAAATATTTTACATGAACGATTCAATTTCGACTTTATCTCTCTAAGTTTCAATTGAAGATTTTTTAAAATCACTGATGACAGGGGATAGACACCGTAAGAATTAGAATCGTTGAGAATCTTTCTTTCTTGTGCATTTTTGATCTAGTTTCCGCAGAAATTTCTTCGAATCAAGCATAAAATATTTTGCAAAATAGAGCAATTGTGTTGAAATATGGAATGATGAAATACGGAATTAGACGTTGGAAGACTGAATTTTGGCTGAATAAATCAAACGATTTTTATAGGCTGCTGTTAACTGGCAGTTAGTCGACTGTGTCAGTGTCAACGATCAAACGAAAATAAGACAACATTATATTTATGGAAATGTTACGAATATTAATCATCCCAAAACACTTACTCAACAAATATATAACGTAACAAAACATCTAGAAAGGCTTCAACTAGAATATCCAAACCAAATATTAATCACTATATATCACATTCTCAATGACATAAGGTGAATGGAACACATAATATAAACATTATATTATAATATGTCCATTTGCAGTGAGCGCAGCTAGATGCACTCATATACTACTTGTTGCTCATAAGAATAATTTCACATTTACAAGTCATAGCTTCGTAATCAACGTTTTTTAGGAACAAGCGATTCAAATCGAAATCAATTTTAGTTCGGCCTTTTCCGAGCCTAATCGCACTTCTCGAGGTGTTTTCATATGATAAACATTTTTTGCCTCCTTTGACAAGGTCGGGATTCTAGAACTCCATTACATAAGGTTCAAATCGGTACCGAATAGATTTTAATGCCTGCTCCAACGTCATATGCAAGAGGATATTTATTGAGAAGATACGTGAAACAATAGGCAATAAAAGAGTGCTAGAGAGTCGCATAAAAGTAGATATTAGAAGAAACAGCAATTAAAATTTGGATTGCATATTTCAGAGAACAAACGATTCAATATAATGCTACTAATCGTCTACATATACGTATACGGAACTAAATAACAAACCTTATACTTACAAAAAGCATATAAACGAGTACGAATAGCACTTACCGTCACAAAAAGAACACATAAATTAAACTGGCATATTTGGCAGTTGTCAACCTGTACGAAGAAAAATGACACTGAAAGGTTCACAAGCATGAAAAAATGCTAGGAATATTAAAAAAGCAAGACATTAAGCTAGAAGTGAGCGAATGACTATTGGGTTGATCAGGTGGCTATAGAAACTCGAACTTCAGTGGTCAATTATGGAAACATCCAACTCTCAAAATCTGCCTTCTTGTTCGCAACAATAGCATGCTCGATCAGTAGCCACCGAAAAAAAAATCCGTCGGCTGCTAACTCTAGTCTAGATGGGATAAAATGCAAAGAGAACACTCACTCAATAAATCATCCAAACTAATAGAGCAAAAGCAAATTCAATTCTGCTTGCAAACTATGCATGCTTTGAAGTGATATTTAGCAAAATTCTGCACAGCATAAGAACTGAAATCCAAAAAGTTGTGCAACTGCGCCTATGCAATCTGCAAATAATGAGTTAAAATTTTTCCTACTTGATGCATAACAACCAGACTGACCCTAGAAATTCTGTTCAATAATGCAATTACTGTGTTCTGGGAATAAATAAAGCAGCTGATTCATTCTCTTCCGTATACGCACTGCTTAGTCTGCCTAAAACAGAAATAAAGAGTGTTGTTTGCTGATAATTTGGTGAGGGAAAGAGTAGTTTCGGTTGGATAAATAAGTTAGTTTTTGGCTAACTGTTCGGTGGATGATGATGAAGATGGTAGTTGTGCTGCTGCGGTAGCAGCCAGGACTAAACGTACTATTTGGAATGTGCAATGTAAAAAGAATTAACAAACTACGCATCGGTCTGCCACTTGAGTGGACACAAACTAATGTGCACATTGCATCAATAGATAAGTGGATGAGCCTTCTGCATCAGCGTCGGATGTAGGATATATTATACAGATAGATATATAGATGGACAGATAGACAATTGGTGCAGAATTTAGCTTCTTAGTTTAGTTGAGCTGGGTTGGGTTGGACTGGTTAGCTTAGACGAAGTGTGCGTATGTGTTATTGTTAGCGCTGCTTGTTGTTGTTGCTGAGTGAATACTGTTTTGCTTAATCTTCATCCCATTCTGCTTCTTCTTCTTCATTCGGACATTACTTCATTTGAGCAGTTACTATTAAATAACCACCAACAACCCTACTCAATAGAACCACAATCGCAATAAATAACCAACAACCAGTTGGACTTCTTTATGATTGTTATTTCGTTGATTATCTTATCCTTTCATCTAGTTTGTTCTTTCTCAATCATCATCTATTACTATATATCCATATCATATTCAACTTATAACTACTGTCATCCAATCAAGTAAATACTTTGATTAGGTATGTATTATGTATAATTAGTTTAATTAGGTATAATGATCAATTATAACAGATGGAATTTTATAAACAGATCAACACTGCAAAATAACTGAATATCATTGGGTACAACCTAAAGAATTTATGATTTGATCATAAAAGAATTAATAATCGCTTCAGTATTTGATTGAAGAATGCTCGACAATGTTTGAAATAAATGCATTGTTTCGAACACAGATTAATGAAAAACACTCAATTACCGATAAAACATTTTCCATGTTTCTGTTCAACCTTTCACATCCATTAAACCACTTTACGCATATATTCACCATGTCTTATTCGAGCAGCTTCACGCACAATTTCACACAACGCAATCTGTTTACATCAAAATTTTTGAAAGAAATAATTTTTTTGCGTCTAATGAGTTTTGAAAATAACAACATTTACACAAGCAAGTGATCACAGATCAAGTCACACTTATGATTGCCCTCTCAAACAATTGAAGAACTACACCATTTTGCACGTTGAACCACTGCAAAAAAATAATTTTATCAAATGTTTCCTGAAAGTTGACCTTTTACTTCAACAGATGCGATCACGTTTATTGAGTATGAAGACAAGTCCGACAACTGTTGAAGAAAGAAACGTGCGATTTTGTGGCAAAATTTTGCACAAAAAGAAAGAATAAATCAAAAACAGACTGTTTCACTCATAATATTCGCCTTTATCAATCACTCATGAAACAAAGCGACGTTTTGTGGTGGATTATTAAGTAAAAATTGCTTGAAATGAAATCGTACGAGAGAGATGACCGACCAAATTTTGATATATCATCGGTCGAAAAAATATTCATATTCATTCAGTTCCAAATCTGCACAACTGAATCATTAATGCATCTTCATCGTTTCCCTATATATGCAAAATTATTGAGCAACTTATGCATGTGAAATAATTGCAATGAAAAATACGATTATTTTGGCAAATGACTGATAATTAGATTGAACAGATTCAATTTTTCTTTTTAGGACATCAATGGACTTCATAATAGATAGGAGAACTGATAAAATTATCACAAAATTGAACTGTCATTTGCAAGAATCTTTTAAATTGACGTTATTTGACCGCTTACACTCATAGAATTTTTTTTTGCTTAATTTGAAATCGATCTTAATCGAAAAATGCAAACAGGAAATGTAAAATGAAATGAAGCTACGCATGATAATTTAATCAATTCATGTAAATATACTACTGAATGTATCCGCCTCTCTAAAAACACTTGAAACCAAGTTGAATTGTAGCTAATTATTTATCAAGATATTATTTAATGAATATCAAGTCTATTACTCAGAAAATTATTAATGTCATCAAATGTTACTAGAAATATAGTCGTCATAATAAATAATTAATATTCGCAAACATGAACGAATTCACTATTGCACTAACGATGAAACATTGAGCATATTCATGAGCACTGAACAGTATTACTAGATTTTCGCACTTTACTGCATGAATAAATGCTTAGCGAGATGAGTGAAGTAATTTGCTTCGTGGCGATTCACCGGGAACAAATCACATCAAATACTCTCTAAATTGAATGATGAAACACCAACTTTTTTTTCAGTTTATGAGAAACTTCGGATCGAGTAAAGACTAATTATGCAAAGTAAAATTATGGGAATGCCTCAAAATTTCGCAGTTTAGCGAGACATAACTTGCACAAAATGATTAACGCGTACATAAAATGAAATGCATAGATGACGAATGAAAGTTTTGAATTTTGAAATATGCTTTTTTTAAAACAAATGATGTCTATAAATTTTTATGGCTACAATCTGAACGAATAGAGAAAATGCGTTGAATTATTGTGAAATAATTGTTACTGTGCAAGCAAGTAAGTTGATGGGTGATGCAACAATAGCATTATAGCACATAGTACGACTAATATCTTAAACTGGATAACAGACACACACATGAATCATGAGTGTTTACGTACTGATATAAAATACTAATTGAATAATAATAACTGAATTTGATTGTATTTACCTTCAATAGACGTTACTCATTCGATTTCTGATTAGAACCAGTCGAAAGCGAAACATGTTAGCGACACTGATAACAACAACCCATCAATAATAACAAAAGTTTTGACAATGACAACAGAGCACTGGCGAGGTTTTTTTTGCACGCATAGGAAGTTAAAAATTTCGAATGGGGATTTACAATTTCATTTGTCAGAGTGAACGTTTTGAACTGACGATAGATGAAGTGAACTGAGTCATTGTGCTTATCGTTGTCTGTTCCTTCAACAATGTTTTTTTCTGTCAGAGGACGGA